TTCTTTTCCTTCCTTGTTTCTTGCTTTATTTCTTTTCCTTTGTTCTTTTCCTTTTTTCTTTCTTTCCATCTTTCTTTTCTTTCCTTCCTTTCTTGCTTTATTTCTTTCTTTTCCTTTTCCTTCCTTCTTTTTTCCCTTTCTTTTCCTTCTTTCTGTCTTTCTTGCTTTCTTTCCCTTTCTTGCTTTTCCTTCCTTCCTTCCTTCCTTCCTTCCTTCCTTCCTTCCTTCCTTCCTTCCTTCCTTCCTTCCTTCCTTACTTCCTCCCTCCCTTCCTCCCTTCCTTCCTTCCTTCCTTCCTTCCTTCCTTCCTTCCTTCCTTCCTTCCTTCCTTCCTTCCCCAATTGTGCATGTACATGTACAGAATTTCTCAATTCTAGCAGCTTGGAGATGGATGGACTTCCACTTCCTGAACTGAAGGTGGAATTCTGGGAGTTGAAGTCCACCCGCCTAGCCATACCCGGAGGGACTACCTGCGTTTTCAAGCTCTGCTCCTAAAGTTGACCGTTGGCCAGGGGGAAGCTTTGCTGCCCCCTTGTGGAGCAAGTTATCACCAAAATCCTTCCTTCACTGAAATCTGTTTGCAAGAATAATAGAATCACACGGTTGAATTTGTGATCGGCCCAAAGTCATCCAGCTGGGTTTCGTGCCTAAGGTGGGGCTAGAACTTAACACTCTCCAACATAATTTTATTAAAATGTATTTATAAACTTATAACTTATTTAAAACAATGGATGACTTACCATCCACCCTAGTTTTTGGCGTCTCAGGATTGCAGAATTGGCAACTCGGTGTCCTCTCTGAGGTTTTGTGCCCATGCCTTTGGAAGCTGCTTGACTGCTGCCACAAAAGCTTTGCTGGCTGGAGAATTCTGGGAGTTGAAATCCACAAGTCTTAAGGCGGCCAATTTTGGGGAGCCCAGCGTTAAATGTTTGTCTGTCGTGGTTAGCAGAAATGTAAACAGCCGAGTGATTTATATTTGCTCTGTTGTTCTTCCAGGCGCTTCCAGCATGTCCGATCCAAGCTACCTGTGAAGCCGCCTCTAAAGAAGAAAACAAGGAGAAGAACAGATACGTCAACATTTTGCCTTGTACGTATTGACATTCCCTGGTTCCTGCCCACTGTGGGTGCCATTGTAAAAACATACATAGAATAACAGAGTTGGAAGGGACCTTGGAGGTCATCTAGCCCAGTGGTCGCCAACCAGTGGGCCAGGGACCACTGGTGGTCTGCGGGGAAAATTTGGTGGTCTGCAGAGAAATGTCCCCCCCCCAAAGCAATTAATCCAGGCTGCGCGGGAACACAAGGCTGCACCGCTCACATGGCCCGCAGGAACACAAGGCTTATGTCGCTTGCATTGCGAACATGAGGTAGTGAGGGGAGGGGGGAGGGGGGCAAATTGCCCCACGCGCCCCACTTGCCTGGCCTGGGCACCGGGCTGCTTCTCTCCGCTTCTTCTTCTGCTTTTGGCTGCACGCAAGGAAAGCAACAGAAGTCTTTCTTTCTCTCCCCCAAACTCCACCAGAAATGAGTCTTTGGGACCCTGCAGGGCCTCCTGCTCCAAGAGGCTGCAAAGGTTCCTTTCTGGCGGAGTTTGGGGGGAGAGAAAGAAAGATTTCTGCTGCTTCTGCTGCTTTCCTTGCATGAAGCCAAAAGTCTCTTCTCTCTCTCTCTCCCTCTCCTCCCTCTCTCTCTCTCTTCTTAAAAACCCCCAGAAGTAATAAGTAAATGATAAATGATATCAGGAGGAGCCCAAAAGTAGAGATTTGGATACTAACAAAGTTGGGAGACATGCAGTAACCTGTGGCTCCTTCCAGACAGAGATCCTTCCTGAAGTCAGATCAGGACAAAGAGAAATGGAAATAATAGGAATATAGGAATGAATCTTTTATATTTCACTACTAAGTCACGTGGGTCCCAGTTTCAGGGCCTGTGGTCGGGGGTGAAGGCTTTGAATCCCGGTTAGTGTCGGCCCAGAGAAATTCTTGCATCCCATCAACCCAGAATCTTCTCTGCTGTCCCTCTAAAGAACATCTACAATTCTCTGCCCCCGTCTTCAAAACTGCTCTTATTTATTTTGATTGCTTAAATAGCCCAAGCTCCAAATATGAATCTCCTTTAAGAGAGAGAGAGAGAGAGAGAGACAGAGAGACAGAGAGAGAGAGAGAGAGAGAGAGAGAAATCTTTCTCAACCAGTCAAGAGCTGCTATTGTTGTGAAGGTGTGCTAAACCTGGAGGACTATTGATTTTTGGCCATCACTTCTTTTGTGGTGCCAAACGGAGAGGCAGCGAGGCGAAGGGAGGTTGCCTAGGCCAGGGGTCTCCAACCTTGGCCACTTTAAGACTTGTGGACTGCTGGCTGAGGAATTCTGGGAGTTGAAGTCCACAAGTCTTAAAGTGGCCAAGGTTGGAGACCTCTGGCCTAGGAGACATGTCCTTCAAGGAGTCAAAAGGAAGCAGATCTCGTGGTAGCACAAAAATAACGCCTGTAATTCCAATTCTTAGTTTAAAACAAAAAACAAAAAACGGTTTCTTTTGGGGATGAAGAAGACCAAAGAAAATAATCATTTAGGTTGTGTTGGATTCAAACAGCGGTGATCACAAAGGAAGAGTTGAGGGTTGGAGAAAAAAAAATATTAGAGATTGGGCGCAAATTCCTATGGAGATTCTCAGTCCTCCAGGTTCTTGTTGTCCCAAAGATGCTATTTTTGTTTTTTTCAGGAGGCCACTGGGCTTCCTTGTTTTTTTCTTTGAAGACATTTCGCTTCTCATCCAAGGAGTTTCTTCAGTTCTGACTGGATAGTGGGGAACGGAAGGAGTTGTATTCCTTGCAGGCAGCTGGTCATTTGCATCCTTTTGGGGAGTAGTTGAGGCCACTTGGAGGTTTATCCGTGCGCTCAGTTCTCCCAGAGGTGCTTTTTCAAGAGGCAACTGGACTTTCTGGTTTTTTTTGGTTTTTTTAAAGACATTTCACTTCTCATCCAAGAAGCTTCTTCAGCTCTGACTGGTGAGATGGTGGGGAATTGAAGGATTTATACTCTTTACAGACAGCTGGTCATTTCCATTCTTTTACCGAGTTGTTGAGGCCACCCGGAGGTTTATCTGTGTCCTCAGGGTCACCTGAGCAGTGCCAATGGGTGTGGAGCCTTCTTGGAACTGTTGAAGGACCATGTTGTAGACTGGAGATAGATGATGCGGAGCAGCTGCTAATAGTTTTCAACTGCGAGTCGTTGAGACCACTTGGAGGTTTATCCGTGCCTTCAGGGTTACCCGAATAGTGCAAATGGGGGTGGAACCTTGTTTACAACACAGTCCATAACACACTCCTTTCGGCAGTTCCAAGAAGGTCCCACCTCCATTTGCACTATTCCGGTGACCCTGAGCGCACAGACAAACCTCCAAGTGGCCTCAACGACCCTCAGAAAGAGTGGTAATGACCAGAGGACTGCAAAGAACATAAATCCTTCCGTTCTCCACCATTCAGCCCGAACCGAAGAAGCTTCTTGGATGAGAAGTGAAACATCTTCAAGGGAAAAAACCAAAGTCCAGTTGCCTTTGGAAAAAGCACTTTGGGGACAACCGTGACCCGAATGACTTGAGAATCTCCACAGACCAGACAATAACCTCTCTCGTGGATGAAGGCAGACATACATGTCCCAAGATAATCCTGTTGCGGGATCCAATTTGGAATCAGTCCCTGGGACCAGAGATTTTGTCTTCCAAGCCTTTGGATCCGTGCTGGAGCCCATCTTCAGGAAAATTCTCTCTAGCAGAGGGTGTGCTGTTCTTTGTGTGGTGTTTATCGGGCCCGTTGCATACGGCTGTTTAGATGTTGATTGGGGTGTGTTGACTTTTAAGACCTTGGCTCTCGACTTCTAAGCGCTTGATAGGCTGGTGGTGTAAATCAGTCCTCCTGTAGACCGACAAGGCTTCAATCACTTCCCCGGCTGTTTTTGAGCCTGCTTGTCCAACAATCTTAGTGTCAACTTGTAAAACATTCCTACGTGTCGGGATTCTGGCAGTTACCTCGATTTAAATCATGAGTCTCGAGCCAAACTTCCCAAAAACTTCCAAAGGATTTATTGGGAGTAAACATGGCCGGCACTGCCTGGGTGTAGCCAACTCTGAGACACATCATTCACTGTCACCCTTGACCCTGATTTCCCCCCAACCTCTGGGTGTATCCTAATTCCTATTCTCCAATGGGACACCTCCATAGCCCAGAGTCATCAATCAGGCTCTCCAGTTAGAATTTTGTGTGGCAGAAACTTCAGTCATCTACTTCCTATCTTTGAAAACATTTATGGAATGCACTTTCGGTTTTGCAAGCTGCCGCACTGCTCCCCCTTCTCTTTCTGTTGGCAACTCTAAAAAAAACCAGAAAAATATTTTATGAGTTAACACTATGCCTGTTTCCAAGTTGCCATGAAAAAGAGGGGGGAAGGGCCTGAAGGAGCATAGGGCAAATAAAACCAGAAGCACATTCCAAGCTTATCTCCTAAAGATTGTAACTTAGGCAACCGGCTATTCTGCCCACAAAAATCCTTTATTGGAGAATGTGAATGATGACACCCAGCCCATGAACGTATTTAATTGGAGAAGCTGAATTATGATATACCCAGAGGGGGTGGGTGGGGGGAAACCAGGGTCAAGGGTGACAGTGAATTACGTGTCTCAGAGTCAGCTTCATACTGGTCATGCCGGCACGTTGCTCCTAATAAATCTTTTGAAGTTTCTTGAAGCTTGGCTCGAGGCTTAGGATTTAATTAAATCGCCGGAATCCTGACACTTCGTAGCTGAAGACGTGCTCCAGCCTGAGTCAGAAAGCTCGGAAGACAAAACCTCTGGTCCCAGTGACCGACCCAGATTGGATCCTGCAAGACAATGATAGGTTATAAGGAGTGGTCATGTCATGCCCCTGTCGGGAATCTGATTTGGAGGGAGAAGCCGAACAGCTGACAGGGAATGGGAGTGTGGCTCCGTTGGCTGTGGAAGAAACTGGGGAAGGGCACATTCCAGGTGGGCAGAGTAGGGGAGAGGTAGAACAAGGGAGAGGGGGTTCAGAGGAAGACCCAGGCCCATCCCCTTCTTCATCCCAGGGCACACAGGGAGGAACGGAGAAGGGAGCAATGTGGGTTGCATGGCTTACAGGGGAGGAAAGGGCCCTGATTCCCTTCATTAGCTGCAGCTGGGAACACAGGGTTTAAAAAGGGAAGCTGCGCACAGCAAGTTGTTGGGAGCAAACATGAAGTTATCTTGTATCGTGGCTTATCTGTGTTCCTGCCCTCTTCCCAACTGTGTGAGTTTTGTCGTGCTTTCAAGTCTGAAATTCCTTCTCCTGCCCTGTCAAGTTAATTGCTGCAGTTTGGTTTGTGTGGATTTTTAGTTACAGTTTGTGTGTACCTTGTTTTGTACTGAATTTCCTCCACTTAAAGGCTGTTCCTGGGAGAGTTTTTTTCTCCAGCCGAAGGTAACCTGGATATTGGGGGCAAAGTTGAAGATAATAAAGGGATTCTTCTTGGTTATTTGACTGTGTTGCCTTTGTGCCACGCCTCTTTGGGTCATCCCAGGTCACTTCTCTAGTTTTACGCTGCACTGAAAACCAACCTTGTGAAGGTTGGCCTTCTTGGAGGTTCGTTCGACCGGCACTGAAGCTCCTCCTCCATTGTCCTGTTGCTTTGGCCATTCATGGTCATCTTCTCTCTCCTAGATGACCATTCCAGGGTTCACCTGACACCCATTGAAGGGGTTCCAGACTCGGATTATATCAATGCCTCATTCATTAATGTGAGTATCTGCTAAAGGGCAGGAATATTCCCCAGATACAGGTAGTCCTCGACTTACAGCAGTTCATTTAGTGACCGGAGTCACAATGGCACTGAAAAAAGAGAGACTTACGACCATTTTTCACACGTACGACCATTGCAGCATCCTCCGTGGTAACATGATCAAAATCCAGAGACTTGGCAACTGACTCGTTATTTATGACGGTTGCCATGATCCCCTTTAGCGACCTTCTGACGAGCAGTGGGGAAGCCAGATTCACTTTAACGACCGGGTTACTAACTTAACAACTGCAATGATTCACTTAACAACTGTTAAGGTCATAAAACGGGGGGGGGGGGGGCAAAATTCACTCGATGAATGTGCCACTGAGCAACGGAAACGTTGGCCTCAGTTGTGGTCGTAAGTTGAGGACTACCTGCAGTCTGGGAGACTTAGGTATTTAGGAAGGAAGAAAAGTAGCTGTTGATTCTTGTTGCTGTCTTCATCTGTTCTAACCCGCAGATCCAGATTATCCACAGATAAATCTTATTTTTCCTGGCTGGTACAATAGTTTGTATGTATTGTGGTTCACCGGCAGCTGGTGCAGCCAGCATCGGAGTTGGACAGTGAGGAAGAAAGGGGACCACTCAGGGAGTCTGGAGAGGACTTGGATGAAGGACCTGCATTCGATGCATGGATGGGGCCAGGACCATCTGGGAGTGGGGTGCTGCCTCAGCGAGGCAGAGGAACAAGGGGAGCCTGTTCCCAGTGTGTATGTGCACAGAGCTGCTAGAAGGCGAGAGCCAGCTGAAGCAGAAGGGGCGACTCGGGAGTAAGGCTGGGAGGTGATTGCCCCTCCCCTAAGGGATAAAAGTCAGGCCAAGATGACGAAACCTTTGCAGGAAGCAAAGTCGTTCTATAGATTCTGAGCCCTCCTTGAAGCTCTTTTGTACTCTGGTTGGTTTTTTTTCTGGTATTTTGGTTGGTTTCTGTTATCATTAATTGGAGACTTCTGTTTTTGGCAGCACTTCCCAGCACTGAAAGCTGTGTGCTTATTTTGGGGAATGGTCTAGGATTAGTTCTGGCTGGGAATGAAAGCAATTCCCAGCATTGCAATTAAAATAGGTTTTGCTTTTAAAACTAAGTTTGGGTTTAATTCCATTTGACGAAGCCTGGGTCAGAACAGCGTGCAGTGACGATATTTGCAAAGTAAGGAATTAACCCCGTGAGAGAAAATGCCGAAATTTTGGGTCTTTGACCAACGCCAGAGATAAAAACCATTGCTTTTTTTTGTTTTTTGTTTTCATTCCTGTCTCCCTTCCGTTCTTGCAGGGGTATCAGGAGAAGAACCGGTTCATCGCTGCACAAGGTAAATAATATGTATTTCCTTTGAATTCCTGCACTGCTAGAAATATACATTCGGCATAGCAACGTGTATTTTTGAGCTGGCCTTTTGCTGCAGTAGCTCCTAATCTGAAGCGGGCGGAGAAGGGCTTAGAGAAATATGGCTTATGTCTTTGTGATTTTGGTGGTGGTGAGGGAAACGCAAAGCTAACCCACTTCCTGCACCTCCCTGAAAGTTTTGCACTTTGAGCGGGGCAGCTTTGGTATCAGACCAACATTTATTTTGCATTCTGAACTGAAAGAGGAAATGAAATGGTGGTTCTGTTTAACACCGTGGATATTGGAAAACCTCAAACAGCAATTGTGTTCCCTCCGCTGAGAAGAGAAGACCATTTTTAAATTCAATTTTAGTCCCTAAATTACAGGAAGTCCTTGATGCACAACCTCCATTGAGCCCAACATTTCTGTTGCTAAGCGAGACCGTCGCGAAGTGAATTTTGCCCCATTTTACAATCTTTCTTTGCCACGGTGGTTAAGTGAATTGTTCTAATTATTCTGTCGGTAACACGGTCGCTAAGTAAGTCTGACTTCCTCATTGGCTTGGCTTGTCAGAAGGTCACAAAATGAGATCACCTGACCACGGGACATTGCAACTGTCATAAGTACATGCCAGTTGCCAAGCGTTTGAATTTGGTTCATGTAACTGTGGGGATGCTGCAATGGTCATAAGTGTGAAAAATTAAGTCACTTTTTTCAGTGCCATTGTAACTTTTGGTCACAAAATGAACTGTTGTAAGATGAGGATTACCTGTACATAAAATCCGCCGCAGACGTTCAGGCAGCAGTTTGAATCTTGAGCTTATATGTTCTTCCTTGGCATAAACCCACGCTTCATTTTTGCTACCTGTTTGTTTTAAATACAGGTATTCATTTAGTGACTTTTCAGAGTTACAATCACAGTAAAAAAAAAGTGACTTATATCGAGTCCTCACATTTGCAATTGTCAACGCCATGGTGACCAGATCAAAATTTGGTGTTCTTACCTCGGCTTCCCCCAAAAGCACTAAGCAGGCTCTTTGTCCCGGCAAAACCCCTTTTATTAAACAAAGGTGAATTTCTTACATTCACATTCATAGAATAGAATAGAATTCTTTTCATTGGCCAAGGGTGGTTGGACACACAAGGAATTTGTCTTTGGTGCAAATGCTCTCAGTGTCCATAAAAGAAAAGATACCTTCGTCAAGAGTCAAGAATCACAAGGTACAACACTTAATAATTGTCACAGTCAATAAGCAATCCAGTCATACTAGGAAACAGTCCATATTCAGCTAAAGGCATGGCCAATGGTCTTTCAAGGGTGTAATTAGGAGCACAGACTTTATTTAGCTTGGAGAGCTGCCAAGTAACTATTTCCAAACGCAGTGCTGACAAGGAAGGGCTGGTCACAGAGTCTCTGAGATGCACAGGCAGATCTTCACACGGCTGCAACGGACGAATTGTTTCCCCTCCTCATTTGCTCCTCTTTTAATCCCTATGGGAGGGGCCATTCAGCGTCCACCTGTGGCCTTACTCCCGATTCGACCCTTGTTCCTTAGCTGTTCCCTTCTTCTGGCAGCTCTGCCCATGCGCCCATCAGGAACAGGCTCCAGTTGTTTTTCTGCCCCACTGATCTCCGACTCCAAAGGCAGCCGATAACTGTCAGATGGCCCTGGCCCCCATCAGACTCTAGGACTGGCCCATGTTCCTCCCCAACCTCCTCACTGTCCGACTCTGCTGCCAGCTCTGCCAGCCGCCTGCAGGCCACAACATTTGGGAGCTTGGCAACCGACATCTCTCTATGATGATTGGAGCATTCTGGCATCACTTGATCATCATTTGTTACCGTCCCAGCCGGCTTCAGATGAGCAAAGTCAACGGAGGGAGCCAGGTTCACTTAATGACTACACGATTCACTTAACAACTGTGGCAAAAAAGGGCCCTAAAATCAGATGTGACTCACTTAACAACCATCTTGCTTATCAAGAGAAATTCTGGTCCCAATTTTGGTCGTATGTCAAAGACTGACCTGTAGGAAGGAAGAGGAGGAGTCAGGCCTGTAAACGTGGAAAAAGCGATGGTGGTTTGCGGTGGCTGCATCTGGGCTGAAAGGTTAGATGGCCCACGTGGGTCAAAGCAGTTCAGCTCACCTTGTTCCTCCTGGATAATGGATTTTTTCTCTGGTGATGCTTTTCCCCTCTGGCGTCTCGGCAGGGCCCAAAGAAGAAACGGTGAACGACTTCTGGAGAATGATTTGGGAGCAAAACACGGCCACAATTGTCATGGTGACCAATCTGAAGGAGAGGAAAGAGGTAAGGCTCTAGTCACCGCCTTGGCTAGGTGACTCTGGACCAAGCCCCAGGAGACAGGGAGTTCTAGTCCCACCTTAGCCCTGAAAGCTGGCTGGGTGACTTTGGGCCAATCACCAGGAGACGGTGAGTTCTAGTCCCACCTTAGGCATGAAAGCCAGTTGGGTGACTTTGGGCCAATCACCAGGAGACAGTGAGTTCTAGTCCCACCTTAGGCATGAAAGCCAGTTGGGTGACTTTGGGCCAATCACCAGGAGACGGGGAGTTCTAGTCCCTCCTTAGGCATGAAAGCCGGCTGGGTGACTTTGGGCCAATCACCAGGAGACGGTGAGTTCTAGTCCCGCCTTAGGCATGAAAGCCGGCTGGGTGACTTTGGGCCAATCACCAGGAGACGGTGAGTTCTAGTCCCACCTTAGGCATGAAAGCCAACTAGGCATCTTTGAGGCCATTCCCTCTCTCTCTCAGCCCAACCTGCCTCACCAGGGTGTTATTGTGAGGAAACTTGGAGAAGGAAGAAGTGTTTGATATGTTCACTGCCTTGAGTTGTTTATAAAAAAAAAAAAAACAGGAAAGGGGGATATAAATAATAAATAAATAAACAAAATATTTATTTTTGTGTTCCCAGTTCAGTTTTCTTTTAGTGAGGGTGCCTTGTAGGAAAATCTCCCCAACTCTTTGGTGCCACCTTCACCTCTTCGTGACTATATACAGCCACAATCACTAATTCAGTGCAATCCCGGCGTTTTTACCCTCAGACCGTGTGACTTGGCAGAAAGTTGACGGCAAAACTCTTGTGAAATTTGCCAGATATTTGGGCTGCTAAGGAGAGAGGGAATGTTTCACTTTATTTCAACGTATTGTCCACCCTCCAACAGCTTGCCTTGTTGGATCACTGAGTGGTCTCTTTTCTCTTGGCGTTCCACTCCCTGGAGAGTGAGGGCACGTCCACAGTGAGGCTGCCCAGCCAAATTTGGAAACGCTTTTAACCTTGCAACAGATGTTGACCTCCGCCGGGGGAAAAACTGACCCTGTGGAGATTGTGGTTAAGGTCATCTCCTCTTCTGCCCCTCCATCTTGGTCTGTTTTGTGGTCTCTCCTCAGTGTAAATGTGCCCAGTATTGGCCAGATCAGGGCTGCTGGACGTATGGGAATATCCGGGTCTCTGTGGAAGATGTCACCATCCTGGTTGACTACACAGTGAGGAAATTCTGCATTCAACAGGTAAGGCCTCACCGGTGTTCAAGTTGCTTGGCCTTGTGAGTAGTGGGTAATTTACCACCCAAAGGGCTGCTTGCTTGATTGCTGGTTTATTAGTTAGGTTAAGTGGACGTGTAAAGTGCTGCGAAAATTCATATATAATGCTTGCAGTCCTAGCCAGACCAGAACCAGGGAGATAAGAGGAAGGAAGGAAGAGAGAACAAGAAAAGGCGAGAGAAAATGGAGGA